TCTCTCCTTAAGTTCTGGGGACATCCAAAGCGGAGATGGCATCTCTAGCCTACCTCTCCAGGCATCAGAGTACTTTACCTCCAGCCTGCTTTGCACAGGATAGAATACATTTGACATTCACTCATTTTGAGGGGCATTGATGGTTCAGTGGAAGAGTTCTTGCCTTCTATGAGGGAGACCTGGGTTGAGTTCCTGGCCAGCGCACGCTCTGTGCAGCCACCACCCATCTGTCAGTGGAAGCTGCGTGTTGCTATGACGTTGAACAGGTTCAGGGAGCATCCAAACGAAGCTGGGCTAGGAAGAAAGGCCTACAATCAACTTCTGAAAATCAGCCATTGAAAACCCTATGGATCACAAGTGTCCGAGCCCATTGTGCATGGGGTTGTCATGAGTCGGGGGCTGATTCCAGGGCAGCTAACAACAACAATTTTAGCTTTAGCCTCTATGCAATTTTGGGATGACTGTGAGCTGTTTGTCACAGTGGTTAAGTGCTCGGCTGCTAACTGAAAGGTTGGCAATTCGAACCCACCAGCCACTTTGAGGGAGCTGGCGTCTGTAAACACTTACAGCCTTGGAAACCTTATGGGGCAGTTGTGCTCTATCCTATAGGGTCACTATGAGTCAGAATCGACTTCACGGCAGTGGGTTTGGTTTGGATGAGCTGTGTTTTTTTTTTAAAGAAGTTAGCCTATATTCATCATAGTTTCCCAGTCACTTGTGTAGTAAGTTAGGTGATGAGGTAAACTTGCTAATGTGCCTTTTTAAGGACCTTACCTTGCAGCAGAGAAAAAATGCCTTGGAAAGAATCAGGCTCCACAGCCAATAGTATGCCATGCTTTGTAGCATACCCTGCCAATGTGGAGAGCATGTGTCTGGGGGGAAAAAGCAGAGGCAAGTGATTTATTTGAAGTGAGGATGGTAAGACTTTGTCACACGTACTTTGGACATCTTATCAGGAGGGATCAGTCCCTGGAGAAAGACATCATGCTTGGTAAAGTAGAGGGTCAGCAAAAAAGAGGAAGACCTCAATGAGATGGATTAACACAGTGGCTGTAACAATGGGCTCAAACATAGCAATGATTGTGAGGATGGAGCAGGACCGGGCAGAATTTTGTTCTGTTGTACATAAGGTTGCTATGAATTGGAACCAACTCAAGGGCACCTAACAACAAGTGATTTTTTTTTCCTTTACACCTATTTTTTTTTTTTTGTGGTTGTTGAGAATATACACAGCTGAACATACATCAATTCAACATTTTCCACAAGTACAATTTAGTGACATCAATTACATTCAACAAGTTGTGCAACCATTCTCACTCTCCTTTTCTGATTTGTTCCTTCCTCGTTAACATAAACTCACTGCCCTCTAAGATTCCCGTTTAATCTTTGTGTGTGTGTGTGTGTGTGTGTCTGTGTGTCTGTGTGTGAATTAGGTGAAAGTTTACAGAGCAAATTAGTTTCCCATTCGATAGTTTTTACATAAGGTGTTTCATGACCTTGGTTTCATTCTCCATAATATGTCAGTACTCTCCCCATTTCCGCCCTGGGTTTCCATTTTCTTTCCTCCTGATTTTCTACCCCTTCCTACCTTCTCATCTTTGCTTTTGGACAGATAATATCAAAATGATATTATATAATTGTATATATTATATAAAATCTCATATAATTGATGTTCTTAGGAGTCCGTTCCTCTTGAGTGTTATTGTTTATCTTATATGCTTGTCTATTGTTTGTCTGGAAAGTGGTCTCTGCAAATGGCTTCAGTTCCCAATCTCAGAAGAGTGTCTTAGGGCCACAGTCTCGGGGGTTCATCTAGTCTCTGTCAGACCAGTAAGTCTGGTCTTCTTTGTGAATTTGATTTTTTGTTCTACAATTTTCTTCCACTCTGTCCAACATCCACTGTTGTGATTCCAGTCAGAGCAGCTGGTCATTGTAGCCTGGCACCATCTAGTACTTCTGGTCTCGGGAGTTTGTAGGCTATGATCATGTGGTCCACTGGTCTTTGGACTAATTACTCCCCTCAGTCTTTGGTTTTCTTCACCTTCTTTTGCTCTGGATGGGAAGAACCAATAGTGTATCTTAGATGGCCACTCACAAGCTTTTAAGACCCCAGATGCTGCTCACCAAAGCAGGATGCAACACATGTATTATGTTGTGCCAATTGATGTGGATGTTCCCCGAGTCTATAGCCCTTTGTCTTCTAGCCTAAGAGCTTCATCCCATGAGGTGTTTGGTTATATCTAAGAGGTTACTTTGACTATACCCCTTGTGTACTCTATATGAGCCACACCTACAGTCATGTATGTAGAAATATCCACCACCAAACCTATATCTGTCTGTGAGTGTGTTCCGTTATATCCTCCCACACCTCTTGGCCTATCTGTCTACCTTTTGTCCATTGGTAAATTATTGTTTGATAATACTATTGCTGCAGGATTGTCTAAGCTAGTATTTACCGTAGTTGCCCTTTATTCCTGCATTCCACTCAGTGTCCTCTCTTGCCTTGGTCATGTTGCACCGACTTCTCCCATATTATGTATTGTCTATCCCCTTACCAACATTACCTCGTGTCTTCTATCTCACTGGTAATTTTCCCTCCCTCTCCCTCCCATCCCTGGTAACCCAAAGAATGTTATTTCTTTTTTTTCTATGTGTAAACTTTTTGTTGTTACTTTATAGTAGCGGTCTCATATAATATTAGTCCTTTTGCAGTTGACTTATTTCACTCAGTGTAATGCCCTTCAGGTTCATCCATGTTGTGAGATGTTTTGAGGATTCGTCATTATTCTTTATCGTTGTGTAGTATTCAGTTGTGTGTGTGCACCACAGTTGTTTAATCCATTCATCTGTGGATGGGCACTTAGTTTGTTTCCATCTTTTTGCTACTGTGAGTAATACTGAAATGAATGTGGTGTGCATATGTCTATTTGTGTCACGGCTCTTTTTTTTTTTAGAATATATACCTAGGAGTGGGGATTGCAGGATCATATTGTATTTCTATTTCTAGCTTTTTGAGGAAGCGCCATATTGTTTTTCAAAGTGATTGTACCATTTTACATTCCCACTAACTGTGTATAAGAGTTCCAATCTCCCCAAAACCTTGCCAATGTTTGTTATTTTCTGTTTTTTTTTTTTTTAATTAGTGCCAGTAATGTTGGAGTGTGATGGTATCTTACTATAGTCTTGATTTGCATCTCTCTAATAGATAATGACGAGCATTTCTTCATATGTTTGTTAACTGCCTGAATGTCTTCTTTGCTGAAGTGTCTGTTCATATCCTTTGCCCATTTTTTAATTAGATTGTTTGTCTTTTTATTGTCGAGTTGTTAAAATTTACTATAAATTTTAGAGATTAGTCCCTTGTCAGATATGTCATAGCCAATCTTTTTCCCCCAGTCTGTATGTTCTCTTTTGACTTTTTTGGAAAAGTCTTTTGATGAGCATAAGTGTTTAATTTTTAGGAGGTCCCATTTATCTAGTTCATATTGTGTTGTGAGTGAATTTTTAGTTATGTCTGGTGCTGTAAAAATGATGTGGAGGTGGTGTCTGACATCCTATACCTTCACAAAGGGGAAGGAGAGTCAAGACCAACAGCCCAAGGCTGATTCCTATGAGGCAGAGGTCAGATATGCCTCCTTTCTCAGCTCTTTACCAATTCTGACACTAACCATTCCTCCCACGGCACTCTCTACTTCTGTGCGGTGTTCAGTAATTTGTTGCAATGGCCACACAGAACTCACAGACAATACTCAATAATTATGGGGTTTATTAGGGAAGTAACAGGTTACAATTCAGATTTAGGAACGCTCAGGATACAGTTCTGCCATCAGGACAGCCTCTTTCCAACGGAGCCCACAGGCATGCCTCTCTGGCCCTTGGTCTCTGCCCTGCTCCGGCAAGTGTTAACAAAGCTCTTTTAGCTCTACTGATAAGTGACCAGAGGCACCCTACTCCACCAACAAGCCTCCTGCCCAAAGGCACTCAGCTTTCTCGCTCCGTGGGTCTGGAAGCCCACCATGCTGTCTCCTGTCATCTCCTGCCTTCGTTTCTCTGCCACCACCCCTCAAGAGCTCTCTCTCTCTCTGTCTCCTGGTTCCAGGAGCTTCTCAGCCCAGGAATCCCGGGTCCAAAGGACGAGTTCTCCACTCCTGGCTGTTCTTCCCTGGTGGTGGTGGGATCCTCTCTCTACTCTGGAATGGGCTGTATTTTAAGGCAAAACTGACTAATCCCCTTGGTGAGCCATAATTACCCTGTTTGCACAGTCCTACCCCATCACTTCAGCAGGAGTTACAAGACCAAGGCAAGAAAGGCCACAGAAAAGTGATCTATCGCACTACAGGTAATCTATTTATGCCATATATTAGGGCCCCTAGCGTTGTCCCTATTTTTTCCTCCATGATGTTTATAGGTTTAGGTTTTATACTGAGCAAGTGATTTATTATTAAGCACTAAATATTTATCGTCCCAATATATCTGCAGGCAAAGTTCACATGCTTTGACCTGAAATGTTTAACTGGGCAGTGCTGTTTAAGCAAACAAAGTCAGTTGGTTGAACAAATAATTAACAGAAAGGTGAGGCGCTCATGCAGTCACCAGCCTTTGGTGGGGAGAAGATGCTGGGGTTGAAGGCTCAGAGCTATGCCTTGCAGAACAGTCTCCTCAACCACAAGTGATTTCACTGTGGGAATATGTGGACGTCTTGGAATCACTACCCATCTGCGGCAATTTGTTCTCGTGTAGTACCAGGTTGCAAGTTAATGGGAGACTGAGCAGAACAAATCAAAGGAGCTACTTCAAAAATGTTTCAAAGAAAGGTGGAAATGCAACGCAGAGGTAAATAAAGAGGGAAGGAAGAAAGAAAAAGGACAAGAACCTAGAGCTGGAAGGAGGTCGAACAGACATTACCACGGGGACGTCTATGGATTCTAGACAAAATGTAAGTTAAATATGTCTACACTTGATCATATCTGAAGAGACGGTTTGCTCATTTCCTGGTTTGAATGATGAGATCTCAGAAGCACTGTCTTTTTAGCCTGTCTCTTATTACTACCCTGATTTTTTTATTTGTTTACATTAACAAGTTACAGGAGAACAAAAGTTTTCTGAAGGCAGCTCTGTCAAACACTTCACTATTAGCAGAAGTCTGTCATCAGATTTTTGAGGGGAAGGTTTTTTATGAAGCAGAAAATGCTTTGAAAATGACCCGCAATGAATCTACCTGTGACGAGTACTTGACTCTCAGTCACTATATAACAGAGACACTGTCTACAGAAGAAGCTGTGTTCCCTTTGGCTTACACAATGACCATTCACAAGGACTTTGATATTTTTGAGAGGCTCTTCAGGGCGATTTATATGCCCCAGAATGTCTACTGCGTTCACGTGGATGAGAAAGCCACAGTGGAATTTAAAGATGCAGTGGAACAATTACTGAGCTGCTTTGCAAATGCTTTCCTGGCTTCCAAGATGGTGCCAGTTGTCTATGGGGGCATTTCCAGGCTCCAGGCTGACCTGAACTGTATGAGAGACCTGGCCGCCTCGAAGGTTCCGTGGAAGTACATGATCAACACCTGTGGGCAAGATTTCCCCCTGAAAACCAACAAGGAGATAGTTCAGTATCTGAAAGGGTTTAAAGGGAAAAATATTACCCCAGGAGTGCTGCCTCCTGATCATGTCATTGGACGGACTAAATATGTCCACCAAGAATTAGTAGGCAGTAAAAGCTCCTACGTGACTAAAACAGGAAAATTGAAAAGTCCTCCTCCTCACAATATGACCATTTACTTTGGCACTGCCTATGTGGCCCTCACAAGGGAATTTGTTAATTTTATCCTCCAAGATCAACATGCACATGACTTACTCTCCTGGTCCAAGGACACCTATAGTCCTGACGAACACTTCTGGGTGACACTCAATAGGATTCCTGGTATGTATATCTCTTAACTTTAATTTTTATGAAGAAGTATTGTGGTTTTGATACTGAAAATAAACAGCTTAGAGCAGGAAATTGTAAAAAAAAAAAAAATTGTAAAAGTTCTCTGCAGTGGTTAAGAGCTCACTCGGCTGCTAACCAAAAGGTCGGCAGTTCAAGTCCACCAGCCACTCCTCGGAAACCCTCTTGGGCAGTTCCACTGTGTCCTATATGGTTGCTATGAGTCAGAATCAACTTGAGGGCAATGAGTTTTGTTTTGTTTTTTTTTTTATAGTTTCCAATGTTGTTGCTGTTGTTGTTGCTTTAATCTTTACAGCAACTCTGCTCGCAGAGTGGATAATACAACTCATCTTCATTTTCCTAAGGAGGTACCTGAAGCATAGTGATTGGGAGGAGGGCTGAGATAGAGCTCAGTTGTTGACTTGATTTTGCTGATGAACCAACTTGCCTTTCTGGGCCCACAGACCCATTTCAAATCGGAGCTGTGGTCTTGAGAGAGCAAGAGATTGAGGAACCATTGGCCATGCCAATGAAAACTTAAGAGTAACACCTTAATTCCTTGTTATAGATTGAATTGTGTCCCCCCCAAAATATGTGCTGTAAATTCTAACCCTTATACTTGTGGAGGGGAGCCCTGGTGGTGCAGTAGTTAAGAGCTACAGCTGCTAACCAAAAAGTCAGTAGTTCAAATCCACCAGCTGGTCTTTGGAAACCAATGGGACAGTTCTGCTCTGTCCTGTAGGGTCACTATGAGTCGGAATCAACTTGATGGCAACAGATTTGGTTTTGGTTTTATACATGTGGAGGAGCCCTGGTGGCACAGTGGTTAAGAGCTTGGCTGCTAGCCAAAAAGTCAGCAGTTCGAATCTAGCAGCTACTCCTTGGAAAGCCTATGGGGTAGTCCTACTCTGTCCTATAGGGTTGCTATAAGTCGGAATCAACTTCATGGCAATGGATTTGGTTTTTGGTTTATACCTGTGGATGTAACCCCATTTGGGAATAAGATTTTCTTTTTTATGTTAATGAGGCCGTATCAGTGTAAAGTATGTCTTAAAACAATCACTTTGAAATATTAAAAAAGCTTAGGCACAGGGAAGAAAGCAGAGATAGGGGAAGATAGATGCCATACCACATTAAGATTACCACGGAACATAGGAATAAAAGCTGAAAAGAGAAAAGGACCTTCCCTTAGCAGATAGAGGCAGAGAGTCCTGCTCTACAGCCTGTGCCTTGGATTAAGACTTTTAGCTACCTAAACTGTGAGATAATAAATTTCTGTTTGTTGAAGTCACCCACTTGTGATATTTCTGTTATAGTAGCAATAAATAACTAAGACACTCCTCAATATGATTTATTAATTGGAAATGGATTATTACACCTTTGGTTAGCAGCTCTGGTGGGGCACACAGTTAAACGCTCAACTACTAATTGAAAGATTGGCTGTTTGAACATACCCAGAGGTACCTTGGAAGAAAGTCTTGGCCATCTGCTTCCAAAAGGTCATAGTCATGAAAATCCTATGGAGTACAGTTCTACTCTGAAATACATGGGGCTCGCCATCAATTGGAATCAACTCAATGACAATTAGTTTGGTTTTTGGTTGGTTAGCAGTAACTGATCAGCAACTCAATAGAAAATAAATGCCCTGAATTGATGGATTTCAAATACTAAAAGAGGTAGTCCCTGAAATAGTTACTGTGCTGTGTATAGATGTCCACTGTGTGGTATGAAGGATCCTTGCTAGAACCCTGGGGCCCCTAACTGGTCCAACCAGCTCTTGCTGGACCTAGGATAATCCTGACATAGGCCTTGGTCACAAGGCAGTAAGGGAACTTGAAACTGAGGTCACCATCTTGTTTAACTGTTGACCCCAACTATGTGGAAATCTGGGCCATTTCTGCTTGGAGAACCTTTCGCGTCGATGTATGTTCTTCTTGGGCATTTTAAGATTGTTCCAGTTGATTGCAGTGATTGAGGACTTATTAGGATTTTCAAAGAAGTAATAAGGCCAAAAAAAATTCTCACAGCTGAAATGGCCTCCTGAGGAGCTAGAACAACACTGTCCAATAGAAATATTATGTAAGCCGCATATGTAATTTTGTATTTTCTAGTATCCACAATCAAAAAATAAAAGAAAAAAAGGTGAAATTATTTTTTAAAATGTATTTTATTTAACCCAGTACATCCAAAATATCACCACAACATGAAGCACTAGACACATTTCAAGTGCTCTATGGGTATGCATGGCTGATGGCTACTGTAATGGGCTGGGCAGAGAGGCCATGTGTCTTTGCTGCGTGGGTATAATGGTCAGAGAACAGCTCTGCCGCCCCAGCAGCACTGAGAAGTCATCTCTGCTCATGTGCTTTATCTACCTCTTCTTTACCTGAAGTTCTCTTCTTCGGAGCTTCCACTTGGGTACACTGTCCACTACCCCATGGCTTCTCCTTCCCACATCTTCTCGTTGTGTCTGCCAGTTTCTGTGCTGCTCTACTAATTGCTATTCCTGTCTGTGTCTCATACAAACATACCCAGAGAGTCTTGTTTGGGGTCCAGTATTCACTGTACAATACATGTCCCAGTTTCCAGTCCACACCATCTCATAGGCTGCTGCTAACCTCTCAAGATGGCTGCCCTTCAATTAGGCCCCAAGTGGTGCTAGCCCACTGTGGCCCGGGTGGCAAGGTCATGTGGTTTAAAAAACAAAACAAAACATGCTCACCTATACATAACAAGTCATTTAAAAAGTGGTTGTTGCTGTGGCAGTTCCTCTCAAGTCCTCTCAGAAGCTAAGACTCCCTGCGTGGGCTGCTCAAAACCAGGACAAGGTGTGTTGGAGGAGAACAGTGTTTCAGGAAAGAAATTCACATGTGGCTTTAGAGATGTTGCCCAGTAAACTTCACTCTTCTTGTTCTTGTTAGCTGACCCCCAACTCATGGCAACCTCAGGCACAATGGAATAAAGCGCTGCCTGGTTCTGCACCATCCTCATGATCAGTTGTGGTTCTGACCATTGTGATCCATGGGGTTTTTTGTTTTGTTTTTTCAATAATTTATTTTATTTTTTGTTGTTGTTGAGAATATACACAGCAAAAACATACACCAGTGCAAGTTTCTACATGTACAATTCAGTGACACTGATTACATTCTTCAACTTGTACAATCATTCTCGCTCTCCTTTTCTGAGTTGTTCCTCCCCCATTAACATAAACTCACTGCCCCCTAAGGTTCCTACGTAATCTTTCGGGTTGCTGTTGTCACTTCGATCTCATATAGATGGTTCTTAAAAGAGCATAATGCTCAAGGCAGACATTCTTTTCTTTTCTTTTTTGAACATTTTATTGTGGTTTAAATGAAAGTTTACAAAGCAAATTAGTTTCCCATTCGACAATTTATACAGCTTGTTTCATAACATTAGTTGTTATCCCCTCAATGTGTCAGCACTCTCTCCACTTCCTCCCTATCGTCCCCGATTCCATTTCCTGTCCCTTCCTGCCTTTTGAACTTTGCTTTTGGGCAAATACTGTCCTTTTGGTCTCGTATGGTTGCTTATTCTGAGGAGCACAGTCCTCACAGGTATTGTTGTTCACTTTATAGGCCTGTCTGTTGTTTGGCTGAAAGGTGATCTCTAGGACTGGTATTGGACGTTTTGAATCAGACAGTCATATGGTCTACTATGCCAGAAATGACAAATTTAAGAGGAAAGGCATTGCATTCATCATCAAAAAGAACATTTCAAGATCCCTCCTGAAGTACAGTGCTGTCAGTGATAGAATAATATCCATACTCCTACAAGGAAGACCAGTTAATACGACTATTATTCAAATTTGCACACCAACCACTAAGGCCAAAGGTGAAGAAACTGAAGATTTTAACCAACTTCTTCAGTCTAAAATTGATCAAACATGTAATCGAGATGCATTGATAATTACTGGTAATTGGAGTGCAAACGTTGGAAACAAAGAAGAAAGATCAGTAGTTGGGAAATACGGTCTTGGTGATAGAAACGATGCTGGAAATCGCATGATAGAGTTTTGCAAAACCAATGACATCTTCATTACAAATACCTTTTTTCAACAACATAAACAGTGACTTTACACGTGGACCTCACCAGATGGAATACACAGGAATCAAATTGACTATATCTGTACAAAAAGACGATGGAGAAGCTCAATATCATCAGTGAGAACAAGGCCAGGGGCCAACTGCAGAACAGACCATCACTTGCTCATATGCAAGTTCAAGTTGAAGCTGAAGAAAATTAGAGCAAGTTGACTATAGCCAAAATACGACCCTGAGTATATCCCAATTTATAGACCATCTCAAGAATAGATTTGACTCATTAAACACTAATGACTGAAGACCAGACAAGTTGTGGAATGACATCAAGGACATCATACATGAAGAACGCAAAATGTCACTAAAAAGACAGGAAAGAAAGAAAAGACCAAAATGGATGTCAGAAGAGACTCTGAAACTTGCTCTTGAACAGAGTAGCTAAAGTGAATGGAAGGAATGATGAAGTAAAAGAGCTGAACAGAAAATCTCAAAGGGCGGGTCAAGAAGACAAAGTAAAGTATTATACTGGAATGTGCAAAGACCTGGAGTTAGAAAACCTAAAGGGAAGAACATGGTCAGCATTTCTCAAGCTGAAAAAGCTGAAGAAAAGATTCAAGCCCCTGGTTGCAATATTGAAGGCTTCTACGGGGAAAATATTGAACAACACAGGAAGTATCAAAAGAAGATGGAAGTAATACACAGAGTCACTTTACCAAAAAGAATTAGTTGACATTTAACCATTTCAGGAGATAGCATATGATCAAGAACTGATGTATTAAAGGCAGAAGTCCAAGCTGCACCGAAGGCATCGGTGAAAAAACAAGGCTCCAGAAAATGATGGAATACCAATTGAGATGTTTCAACAAAAGGATGCAGCGCTGGAGGTACCCACTTATCTATGCCAAGAAATTTGGAAGACAGCTACCTGGCCAACCAACTGGAAGAGATCCATA